CCAACGGCAGCTTTCAGAGAACTAGAGCAAATAATTTCACAATTTGTATGGAAATGCAAAACACCTCGAATAGCCAAAGGAATCTTGAGAAAGAAGAATGGAACTGGAGGAATCAACCTGCCTGACTTCACACTATACCACAAAGCCACAGTCATCAAGACAGTATGGTACTGGCACAAAGACAGAAATATAGATTAATGGAACAGAACAGAAAGCCCAGAGATAAATCCACGAACCTATGGTCACCTTATCTTCGACAAAGGAGGCAAGGATATACAGTGGAAAAAAAGACAACCTCTTTAACAAGCGGTGCTGGGAAAACTGGTCAGCCACCTGGAAAAGAATGAAACGAGAACACTTTCTAACACCATACACAGAAATAAACTCAAAATGGATTAAAGATCTAAATGTTAAGACCAGAAACCATAAAACTCCTAGAGGAGAACACAGGCAAAACACTCTCCGACATAAATCACAGCAGGATCCCAGAGGATTAGAAACAAAAGCGAAAATTAACAAATGGGACCTAATGAAACTTAAGAGCTTTTGCACGACAAAGAAACTATAAGCGAGGTGAAAGGACAGCCCTCAGATTGGGAGAAAATAACAGCAAACGAAGCAACACACAAAGGATTAATCTCAAACATATACAAGCAACTCCTCCAGCTCAACTCCAGAAAATAAATGACCCAATCAAAAAATGGGCCAAAGAGCTAACCAGACATTTCTCCAAGGAAGACATACAGATGGCTAAAGGACACAATGAAAAGATGCTCAACATCACTCATTATCCGAGAAATGCGAATCAAAACCACAATGAGGTACCATTACACGCCAGTCAGGATGGCTGCTATCCAAAAAGTCTACAAGCAATAAATGCTGGAGAGGGTGTGGAGAAAAGGGAACCCTCTTACCCTGTTGGTGGGAATGCAAACTAGTACAGCCACTATGGAAAACAGTGTGGAGATTTCTTAAAAAACTGGAAAAAGAACTGCCCTAAGATCCAGCAATCCCACTTCTGGGCATACACGCCGAGGAAACCAGATCTGAAAGAGACACGTGCACCCCAATGTTCATCGCAGCACCGTTTATAATAGGCAGGACATGGAAGTAACCTAGATGCCCGTCAGCAGACGAATGGATAAGGCAGCTGTGGTACATATACACCATGGAATCTTACTCAGCCATTAAAAAGAATTCATTTGAATCAGTTCTAAAGAGATGGATGAAACTGGAGCCCGTTATACAGACTGAAGTAAGCCAGAAAGATAAAGACCATTACAGGATACTAACACATATACACGGAATTGAGAAAGATGGTAACGATAACCCTATTTACAAAACAGAAAAAGACACACAGATGTATAGAACAGACTTTTGGACTCTGTGGGAGAAGGCGCGGGTGGGATGTTTCAAGAGAACAGCATCGAAACATGTATATATAATCTAGGGTGAAAGAGATCACCAGCCCAGGTTGGATGCAGGAGACAAGTGCTCGGACCTGGTGCACTGGGAAGAGCCAAAGGGATCGGGTCGAGACGGAGGTGGGAGGGGGGATCGGGATGGGAAATACATGTAAATCCATGGCTAATTCATGTCAATGTATGACAAAAAAAATTTGTAAAGTCATTAGCCTCCAACTAATAAAAATAAATGAAAAAAAAAACAACAGGGATTCATTGAGCTGCATGGGAGATGAATTCTGTCATTAGAAACTTTGCCACCAGGCTTAAGAAATATATTTAGAACTCATTTCTTTCCGGAAACAGGTTTCAAGATCTCCATAAGAAGTCTTTTATTAAGATAAATCACAGCTTTGTCAGTTTCTCCAGAAGAACCCTATTTTTAATTCCCAAGGAGAATGGCAATAATAAAACTAAATTAACCGAGTAGGTTATTTTCTCTCTAATGGCCCCTGTCTTGATTAAGAGGATTCCGGTCGACGTATTTCCTGGGCTTCCCTGGTGGCTCAGGTGGTAAAGAATCTGTCTGCAATGCAGGAGACCTGGGTTTCATGCCTGGGTTGAGAAGATCGCCTGCAGAAGGGAATGGCCACCTCTTCCAGTATTCTTGCCTAGAGAATTCCACGGACAGAGGAACTGGGAAGGCCACAGTCCATGGAGTCACAAAGAGTCGGACACCGCTGAGCAACTAATACACATATTTTCTTACCATTTGCTTAGCAGAAGCAATCATTCATAGCATTTTATAGCACTTTCTAAAGAACATTTTGTGGCTTTTTTCTCTTTTGTAAGCTGCACCAGGTCTTGGTTGCCACACATGGGATCTTTCATTGTGGCGTGCAAACTCTTCCTTGCAGTGAATGGGATCTAGTTCACTGACCAGAGATTGAACCCAGGCCCCTGCATTGGGAGGAGCCACTGGATCGCCAGGGAAGCCCTCTAAAGAACTCTTAAAGTGAAACTTTTTGGATGTTCGCAGCAGCTCTGAGCAGTCCTAGTGATGATACTTGTTCTGCACTCTTGAGCCCGTGACCTCCCTGAGGGACACAGGGGCCAAGCGAGCAGATGCTACCCCAGCGGCAGACCACAGGGCCAGACTGGCAGTGTAAACTCCCTTCCAGTGATGTCCTCTTTTTACTGTTCCTCTGGTCAATTCAGTACTGTTTTCCTTGGAGCATGTGTTTAAAAGGAAATCCTAGATGTGTTCAAACATTACTGCCCACTTTCAGATGGATTGATATCTACCTAGGACTTGGCTATTAAACCCACCTGCCTGAGTACTGTGACTTGATTGGAGTTTTCTTGAAGTCACTCCTGAAGCACTGTGATGGCTTTGTCTAACATTAATAGATTTTTAAAAATGATATGTGTTGGGGAATGGCTATGAAAAAAGGGGAGAATCTGTTGCTACTGCAAACCAATTAAGGAGGCAACTTAAAAAGGAAATCTGAATTGTAACTATGTTTCTATTCCTATAAAATACTGTCCTTACCTTGCAGTCTGTAGTTGATGTGCCCAGACACAGTAGTGGCTCTCGGGTTGCTCTTCTGCCATCTTCCTGTCTCCTTCAGTCCCTGCATGCATATAGGAACTTCAGTGAGATAATGGGGCATTTAACAGAGATTGTTCTGTGCAATACTGTATTTAGTGTTTCTATTTTAAAGTTTCTAGGATGCTAATTTACATGCAAATAAAATATATAATAAGAGAGTTCTCTGCCTATTGTGTCTATATGACCTAAAAGTAAATGCAAAATATTTATCCCAGAGGGAAAATAAGTTAGAGCGTCTGTGTTCAAAGATTTTTGAAAGTTCTTATCTCAGGCCGAACCGTTGCTGGTGAACAGTGAAAGTCGCTCTGTCATGTCTGAATCTGCAAACGCATGGACTGTACAGTCCATGGAATTCCCCAGGCCAGAATACTAGAGTGGGTAGCCGTTTCCCTTCTCCAGGGGGTCTTTGCAACCCAGGGATCGAACCCAGGTCTCCTGCACTGCAGGTGGATTCCTCACCAGCTGAGCCACCAGGGAAGCCTGAACAGTTCTTGGCAGTTAAGGATTTAACAAATGCTAGAGTGTAAAGACAAAATAATAATTCTGCTACAGTAAAACACACTTTCTTAAGTGCAAATCTTCTCAATGCAGTTTTAGGGAAGAAGTACTTCCCCCTTATGGAAATATCAGTATGTTAATACCTAAGAAGTCCTTTTACGAAAAGTTGCAAAAATTCATATGATGTAGATTAAATGGTGATAAAAATTGAGTTGATCTCAGTGAGGCAGCAGTGAGTGGTGGCGTGAAGTGAGATCTAATTCGCTGCCCAGGAACTGAACCTGGGTAGCCTGAACGAAAACCAGGAATCCTAGCCACCAGACCAGCAAGGGCTAGAGGCTAGAAGCCAAGTTTCCCTGGATCTTTGACCAGTGAAAAATGCATTCATCATGGAGGCAGAATCGCTACATGCAGGTACAACGTTTATTATCAGAGACACAGCACAGCAACACGTGGGAAAGAACACGGAGGAACAGCTGGTCTAGTTCCGACAGAAGCAAAGCAGAGACACACACCTGGAGAGAAAGGTTATGGGCGCCCCCTGGTGAGAAGGAGCACAATAACCACGAGGTGGTGAAGTCCTTTATATAGGCCAGTTCTTCTGGGTCTTTGTCTTCCTTCCTGCCAAGTTTCTGGTTCCTTTCTTCACATCTGACCTATCCTGGGCCTCTGCCCTGGTGTGCACATACCCCTCAGCCAAGATGGATCTCCAAGTGGAGGCTTCTGGGAGAAGCAAGGCTCATCATGGTCTGGCATTTTCGCGGGACTTTTCACCCACAAGGAGCCTCTCTGCGCATGTGTTGTGTTTCCCTTCTCCCACAAGGGGGGTGGGGGGAGGGGAGATCTCTTCATCCTTGACTCAAGCAGGGTTTTGTCCCTCTTTGCCCTTGTCATGGCTACTAAAGTGTTCATAAGAGACAGACACTGGCTATTTACCCTCTTTCTGTTGTTACTTCCATTTCACAGGGCAAGCAGGACACTGACTGTAAAGGCTCAACTGGAGCCCAACCATCTCTTGCCTCAAGAAATGTAAACAGGCTAGATGTAAATGCCTAACCTGAAGTCCATCTGTCTCCTCCAGCAACATTATGGGAAGACAAAAGGCGGAAAATTATGCCAATAAGGCACCACATGATGGTGCAAAAAGATGGATATAGACAAGGAAAGAAGGAATAAAAACTAAGCATTATGCTAATGGCAACCATTATGCAAGTTAATGGGGGGTGTGGGGGAACCTAATGGAAAACACTTGCTTTTATAGCATAAACCATCTTTGAATTCAGGTTGAATTGGATTTTTCACGATAAACTTTTCATCACCTCTGCGTTGGCTTGTCGTCTACTTTGTGCAAAAGCCTGGAGCTCCTAACTACTAGGGGGTCTCCCATCCAAGTACTAACTAACCCTGCTTAGTTTCCCCGATCAGAAGACATCTGGCCCGTTCAGGGTGGTATGATCTTAGATGGAGGCGGTTGCCGCCAGGCACCTTTAAAAACCCTGCGCTGCGCCTCCTTTTCGCTCTGATGTGCCGTGTCGAGCCAGCCGGCCGCACCTTTCCACGGGGCGCGCCGGCCAGGGCCGGCAGCCCGGCCGAAGCCTCCCCGTCCCCGCACACCAGTAACCCTGGCCAGCAAACCTGGCCCGGCCCGGGGGCCCGGAGTGTTTCCGGGACCCCGAGCGGCCGGTCGGGCGTGCATGCCTGGGCTTGGGGTTGGGGTAAGGGGCGCGGAGGTCTCGGCGCCCTCCCGCCCTGGGCCTCTCCAGGCCCGCCCCCTGTCGGCGCCCCCCCCTGCCCACTCCCGTTCGTGGCTCAGGGCCACGTGGCCCCGGAGGTGTCTGATTCGGGCCCGCCGCGGACCGCGGCCCTCGGTCCTCTGAGCCTCCCTCGGGCATAGGCGGAGCGCAGCCGGGGCCCTGAGCGCCCATCCTGCCCGGCACCTGCCCGGGGCCCAAACCCAACCGGAGCCACCAGCGCGGTCCACCCGAGTGCCTCAGCCCCGCCCCTTCGCCCTACCTCTGCCCCCCTCCTCGCCCCGCCGCTCGCCAAGCACAGCACCTTCCTGAGGTCCTTAAAATTCTTCCTTCAAGAGTTCTAAGTAAATTTAAGACAGCATCTACTGGATTTTCACCAACGGCTCAAAAAACAAACAAACCAACAGTTACCTTGATCCATCTTGCCTTAATGTGAGCTGTAACAGTAACCTCAGAGCTGCTGCACTCAATGATTTGATTCATTCCGTTGTTGAAAAACAGGGATTCTCAATATTGTCAAAATGGCTATAGTACCCAAAGCAATCTACAGATTCAATGCAATCCCTATCAAGCTACCAACGGCAGCTTTCAGAGAACTAGAGCAAATAATTTCACAATTTGTATGGAAATGCAAAACACCTCGAATAGCCAAAGGAATCTTGAGAAAGAAGAATGGAACTGGAGGAATCAACCTGCCTGACTTCACACTATACCACAAAGCCACAGTCATCAAGACAGTATGGTACTGGCACAAAGACAGAAATATAGATTAATGGAACAGAACAGAAAGCCCAGAGATAAATCCACGAACCTATGGTCACCTTATCTTCGACAAAGGAGGCAAGGATATACAGTGGAAAAAAAGACAACCTCTTTAACAAGCGGTGCTGGGAAAACTGGTCAGCCACCTGGAAAAGAATGAAACGAGAACACTTTCTAACACCATACACAGAAATAAACTCAAAATGGATTAAAGATCTAAATGTTAAGACCAGAAACCATAAAACTCCTAGAGGAGAACACAGGCAAAACACTCTCCGACATAAATCACAGCAGGATCCCAGAGGATTAGAAACAAAAGCGAAAATTAACAAATGGGACCTAATGAAACTTAAGAGCTTTTGCACGACAAAGAAACTATAAGCGAGGTGAAAGGACAGCCCTCAGATTGGGAGAAAATAACAGCAAACGAAGCAACACACAAAGGATTAATCTCAAACATATACAAGCAACTCCTCCAGCTCAACTCCAGAAAATAAATGACCCAATCAAAAAATGGGCCAAAGAGCTAACCAGACATTTCTCCAAGGAAGACATACAGATGGCTAAAGGACACAATGAAAAGATGCTCAACATCACTCATTATCCGAGAAATGCGAATCAAAACCACAATGAGGTACCATTACACGCCAGTCAGGATGGCTGCTATCCAAAAAGTCTACAAGCAATAAATGCTGGAGAGGGTGTGGAGAAAAGGGAACCCTCTTACCCTGTTGGTGGGAATGCAAACTAGTACAGCCACTATGGAAAACAGTGTGGAGATTTCTTAAAAAACTGGAAAAAGAACTGCCCTAAGATCCAGCAATCCCACTTCTGGGCATACACGCCGAGGAAACCAGATCTGAAAGAGACACGTGCACCCCAATGTTCATCGCAGCACCGTTTATAATAGGCAGGACATGGAAGTAACCTAGATGCCCGTCAGCAGACGAATGGATAAGGCAGCTGTGGTACATATACACCATGGAATCTTACTCAGCCATTAAAAAGAATTCATTTGAATCAGTTCTAAAGAGATGGATGAAACTGGAGCCCGTTATACAGACTGAAGTAAGCCAGAAAGATAAAGACCATTACAGGATACTAACACATATACACGGAATTGAGAAAGATGGTAACGATAACCCTATTTACAAAACAGAAAAAGACACACAGATGTATAGAACAGACTTTTGGACTCTGTGGGAGAAGGCGCGGGTGGGATGTTTCAAGAGAACAGCATCGAAACATGTATATATAATCTAGGGTGAAAGAGATCACCAGCCCAGGTTGGATGCAGGAGACAAGTGCTCGGACCTGGTGCACTGGGAAGAGCCAAAGGGATCGGGTCGAGACGGAGGTGGGAGGGGGGATCGGGATGGGAAATACATGTAAATCCATGGCTAATTCATGTCAATGTATGACAAAAAAATTTGTAAAGTCATTAGCCTCCAACTAATAAAAATAAATGAAAAAAAAAACAACAGGGATTCATTGAGCTGCATGGGAGATGAATTCTGTCATTAGAAACTTTGCCACCAGGCTTAAGAAATATATTTAGAACTCATTTCTTTCCGGAAACAGGTTTCAAGATCTCCATAAGAAGTCTTTTATTAAGATAAATCACAGCTTTGTCAGTTTCTCCAGAAGAACCCTATTTTTAATTCCCAAGGAGAATGGCAATAATAAAACTAAATTAACCGAGTAGGTTATTTTCTCTCTAATGGCCCCTGTCTTGATTAAGAGGATTCCGGTCGACGTATTTCCTGGGCTTCCCTGGTGGCTCAGGTGGTAAAGAATCTGTCTGCAATGCAGGAGACCTGGGTTTCATGCCTGGGTTGAGAAGATCGCCTGCAGAAGGGAATGGCCACCTCTTCCAGTATTCTTGCCTAGAGAATTCTACGGACAGAGGAACTGGGAAGGCCACAGTCCATGGAGTCACAAAGAGTCGGACACCGCTGAGCAACTAATACACATATTTTCTTACCATTTGCTTAGCAGAAGCAATCATTCATAGCATTTTATAGCACTTTCTAAAGAACATTTTGTGGCTTTTTTCTCTTTTGTAAGCTGCACCAGGTCTTGGTTGCCACACATGGGATCTTTCATTGTGGCGTGCAAACTCTTCCTTGCAGTGAATGGGATCTAGTTCACTGACCAGAGATTGAACCCAGGCCCCTGCATTGGGAGGAGCCACTGGATCGCCAGGGAAGCCCTCTAAAGAACTCTTAAAGTGAAACTTTTTGGATGTTCGCAGCAGCTCTGAGCAGTCCTAGTGATGATACTTGTTCTGCACTCTTGAGCCCGTGACCTCCCTGAGGGACACAGGGGCCAAGCGAGCAGATGCTACCCCAGCGCCAGACCACAGGGCCAGACTGGCAGTGTAAACTCCCTTCCAGTGATGTCCTCTTTTTACTGTTCCTCTGGTCAATTCAGTACTGTTTCCTTGGAGCATGTGTTTAAAAGGAAATCCTAGATGTGTTCAAACATCACTGCCCACTTTCAGATGGATTGATATCTACCTAGGACTTGGCTATTAAACCCACCTGCCTGAGTACTGTGACTTGATTGGAGTTTTCTTGAAGTCACTCCTGAAGCACTGTGATGGCTTTGTCTAACATTAATAGATTTTTAAAAATGATATGTGTTGGGGAATGGCTATGAAAAAAGGGGAGAATCTGTTGCTACTGCAAACCAATTAAGGAGGCAACTTAAAAAGGAAATCTGAATTGTAACTATGTTTCTATTCCTATAAAATACTGTCCTTACCTTGCAGTCTGTAGTTGATGTGCCCAGACACAGTAGTGGCTCTCGGGTTGCTCTTCTGCCATCTTCCTGTCTCCTTCAGTCCCTGCATGCATATAGGAACTTCAGTGAGATAATGGGGCATTTAACAGAGATTGTTCTGTGCAATACTGTATTTAGTGTTTCTATTTTAAAGTTTCTAGGATGCTAATTTACATGCAAATAAAATACATAATAAGAGAGTTCTCTGCCTATTGTGTCTATATGACCTAAAAGTAAATGCAAAATATTTATCCCAGAGGGAAAATAAGTTAGAGCGTCTGTGTTCAAAGATTTTTGAAAGTTCTTATCTCAGGCCGAACCGTTGCTGGTGAACAGTGAAAGTCGCTCTGTCATGTCTGAATCTGCAAACGCATGGACTGTACAGTCCATGGAATTCCCCAGGCCAGAATACTAGAGTGGGTAGCCGTTTCCCTTCTCCAGGGGGTCTTTGCAACCCAGGGATCGAACCCAGGTCTCCTGCACTGCAGGTGGATTCCTCACCAGCTGAGCCACCAGGGAAGCCTGAACAGTTCTTGGCAGTTAAGGATTTAACAAATGCTAGAGTGTAAAGACAAAATAATAATTCTGCTACAGTAAAACACACTTTCTTAAGTGCAAATCTTCTCAATGCAGTTTTAGGGAAGAAGTACTTCCCCCTTATGGAAATATCAGTATGTTAATACCTAAGAAGTCCTTTTACGAAAAGTTGCAAAAATTCATATGATGTAGATTAAATGGTGATAAAAATTGAGTTGATCTCAGTGAGGCAGCAGTGAGTGGTGGCGTGAAGTGAGATCTAATTCGCTGCCCAGGAACTGAACCTGGGTAGCCTGAACGAAAACCAGGAATCCTAGCCACCAGACCAGCAAGGGCTAGAGGCTAGAAGCCAAGTTTCCCTGGATCTTTGACCAGTGAAAAATGCATTCATCATGGAGGCAGAATCGCTACATGCAGGTACAACGTTTATTATCAGAGACACAGCACAGCAACACGTGGGAAAGAACACGGAGGAACAGCTGGTCTAGTTCCGACAGAAGCAAAGCAGAGACACACACCTGGAGAGAAAGGTTATGGGCGCCCCCTGGTGAGAAGGAGCACAATAACCACGAGGTGGTGAAGTCCTTTATATAGGCCAGTTCTTCTGGGTCTTTGTCTTCCTTCCTGCCAAGTTTCTGGTTCCTTTCTTCACATCTGACCTATCCTGGGCCTCTGCCCTGGTGTGCACATACCCCTCAGCCAAGATGGATCTCCAAGTGGAGGCTTCTGGGAGAAGCAAGGCTCATCATGGTCTGGCATTTTCGCGGGACTTTTCACCCACAAGGAGCCTCTCTGCGCATGTGTTGTGTTTCCCTTCTCCCACAAGGGGGGTGGGGGGAGGGGAGATCTCTTCATCCTTGACTCAAGCAGGGTTTTGTCCCTCTTTGCCCTTGTCATGGCTACTGAAGTGTTCATAAGAGACAGACACTGGCTATTTACCCTCTTTCTGTTGTTACTTCCATTTCACAGGGCAAGCAGGACACTGACTGTAAAGGCTCAACTGGAGCCCAACCATCTCTTGCCTCAAGAAATGTAAACAGGCTAGATGTAAATGCCTAACCTGGAGTCCATCTGTCTCCTCCAGCAACATT